CGCTCTTCCAGGGGGTGAGGAGCCCATGCAATGAGATCTGTGTCCTTCCTTGCCCTGTGCTGCTCCAGCTGAGTGTAACAGGGGATGACAGAAAGAGGTTAGAGGGAAGCGCGGATGATCGCAGATGCGCGGGGCCTTGAAATGCCTTTTGTTAAATGGACATTTTGGTGCTGGTCTGAGGAGTGGTTTGCAAGAGGTGGCACTGGTGCTGAAGAAAGCATGTGCATTAAAGAAAGAAAAAGAAAGTAAACCCATTTATAATCCACTTAATGATTTAAAAGTCATAAGAAAACCAACATTTAGAGGCTTCTCAGCATCTTTTCGCCATTACACTGTTAAGACATGCAGGAGCCCGGTGTGTGGATTTTATTTTAGGGCACCAGTAGTTCCTGACAGCAACATAGTGCATGTTGCCAGGAAAAAAAAACTCCTTCCTTCAGACATCAAGTTCTGACACGTCAGTTGCCATCTTTGTGAACACAAAACCCCCCTTGGATTTATTTTTTGTGACAAGCACGCTGTCCTATTTACATTCTAGAGTGAACAAACAAGGACCTGTTCCTTGAAACGAGGGTACTCAGAAAGAATCTGCCTCTCATTTGAGTAGGAGAGGATTTGATGAGACATCCCCTTGGGGTCTGCAGGGACTGATAAGGAGGGAAGTCATCTCACCGTGCGTGCAGTGACCCATGCGACAGCAGCACAAACCCCACTGGATGAGGCTGCAGGCACCAGAAGTCGAAAACCTATGGGCAAAGCTGCATCATGGTGCTGGCTCCAAAAGGCAGCTCTTTAAGGTCCATCCCTCAGAGTCACCTTGTTGTGATTGAAAACAGCCTGTTCCCGTGAGTCCTGTTCTGAGCCGCAGCACGAGTTCTCCTCTTTGACGCTCAGAAGGCACTGGGATTTTTTCAGTTCAACTTCTCCTACAATTTCAGCGTACTCTTGTGCGGCGCTCAAAGCAAGGGCTTGGCGCTTCCTGGCTAGGCTGGCTCTCTGGTGTTTGAAGGGGAGGCAACGCAGACGTGCCAGTAGGTATCCTACAAGCTGCAAAATGTTTCTGAGACTGATAAAAAGAGGTCAAGGCTAGAGGCTAGGCTCAGCATAATAAACGTCTTCTCGGGCAAGGACTGCAGCTGGCTGGAGCCCTTTTTAGCCAAGCACTGGGAATTTATGCTTGAAAACCAAAGTGCCTCACACCAATGGTATTGTTGAGGCTAGAAGTGGGGTGATGGGGTCAGTATTTTGGCAACCTCTATTTAAGGCAGAGCAGAGGGATGCTGAGGGCAAGAAACTTGCTGCATTACCTATTTGACTAGTGTCTGAAATGCTAGCTCAAGGAAAAGAGCCACTAACAGAAGGCCTTCTCTGCTTAACAGTTTTAATAATTCAACAATAATTTGATGTTTTTAATAATTTATATGTTCCTTATTGAGGTCTTCAAACATACAGTGGGAATCTCTAACACTTAAGGACTTGATCTGTCTATACAGATAATTAATGAACTCATTACAACTTTTTGTTAGTCTCATCATGTCTATGATGAGTTTCTCTACAAGCTGTGGGAAGCAGCTTCACTGGGGAAGGGCTTCAGTGTCAGCCATTACACCCAGGGGTGCTGGGTAACCCACAGAGACTTTTTTCCAAACAGAACTGGTGGGTCCCGGAGCCTTCTACAGCTCTGTCGGCAGCCAGGTTCCAGAGGTTCCCTGTCTGGGCTGCTGAGGACACACGAGCACAAGCTGCAGGGGCCACCTCAGCCCCAGCAAGGGACATGGCTTGGTGTGAGTCACCCTGTACAGCTCTGTCAGAAGCCAACGGATTCATAATGCTTTTGCACTCAATACTTGTAACTCAGGTCTGAATATAATTATGAAAAAATGTCTTTTACTGCCACTGCAACTGACTGACTGAAACCACATAAAAGGTTGTTTTTTTTCTTTTAACAAGCAGTGGGAAGAGAAGGAAGTCACAACACAGCAACTCTACTTCTATAAAAATACCCATTTATTATCTAGAACTGGGGAAGGTGGTGTGCTGACTCATTAGCATAACAATTTGGAGCAGATTCAGAAGTTCTGGCCCAAATTATTATTTATTATAAATTGACCTGGCACTGCTGCACTACTAATTCTCCACAGCTGCTGGTTCAGGCACTGAAAGTCTTTTAAAAGCTGACTAACAAAACAGGTGTATGAAGTGAAAATACGCCGCTACCCATTAGAAGTAAGCAAACCGTCAAAAATCCAGAACAGTTAATGTCTTTAATATAAAATCACTTTTTTTTCCCCCAAAAGCAGCAGCACTGTATTATAGCTGTATTATAGTTAAATTAAAAGGAACACAATTACAATTGAGGACATCCTATATGAAGTAAAATTTTCCAAAAAGTTCAGTCCATTCCTGTATATTTCAGCTTACTGAAATGCCCCGGAAACAAATATTTTCTGTTCAGCTGATGTCACTACCACCATTTCTCAAAGAAAATAGAGTTTCTCGGGACACCGATGTTGGCTAGTAAGTTGGATATAGATTCTATCATTGGAGGTGGACCACAGATGTACCATAAAGTATCCTTAGATGCATGTTTTTCTAGATCCTTTTTGGATATTCTTCCCTCTGACAAAGAAAGAAGAAAGCAATGAGAACTGAAATATTAATTATGAAGTAATTTCAAAAATCTTGACTGGTTACAGGTATTTCAAGGCACTCATTTCTTTAAAAATGCCAAGCCTGTTTAAGGACTTGAGGCTTCCAAAACCACCTTGTGAGGATTTAGCTCAGTACTTCCAGCTGGAATACAAAGTACATTAGTCACTGGGGAGCAACATGGCTTATTACAACTAAAAATCCCACATTCAGATGAAAAAAAAAAAAAACAAAAAACCACAAGCCCAGCAAAAAAACTCTTAAGTATTTCTAAAACAAATACAGCAGAAATGGAAACATGATGAAGAATCTCTTACAAGCAGTCACCTTATCCTTCATCAATCCCACCTTAAGCAGAGGAAATACTTTGGTTAGTAGTTTTTGGAATTAAGTTTGCATCGGAAATACCAGTATCAAGTTTAGAAATAACAGAGGCGGTTTACTAGAAATGGAAACAAAAACTGCCAAGGAAAGATATTTCTCTGAAGTGTAATCTGTACAGTGAAATTATTTAGGTTGAACTTGAATCTTGTTTTGAATCTTTAAATGTAAAAATACCACATTGTGCATATAACTTGATTCTCTAGGACGCAATCAGACTTAGCCTGTAGACGTCACCTGTGTTGTAGCTGCCGTCACATTTACCTGTAACATGTGGCTGAAGCTCTTCGCAGACGAGTGAGCTCTGCTGGGTGGTGTGGAAGCGACACATGATCTTCCCAGGAAACGCATTCATCAAGCCCAGGATACGTTCCTGTAAAGTGAAACACCCTTGCTTGCAGGGCAGGCTGCTGGGGCAGAGCAGGGGTGCCCACCCGGCCCGCCGGGAGCCTCACTCCACCCGCCGACCCACGCACCACACGCGACCCCTGCGCCACCAGCTGCGGCTCGTGCTTTGCTGCTCTTTGCAATCGGTAAGATTTGGACCTCAGAACCAGTTCTGTCCTTTCTTGATTCCTTCCTCACATAAAAGTCTCATGATTTCATCCTTCCACTTCCACATGGGCTTCCATTTAAAAAAAAACAAACAACAAACCACCCTGCAGTAAGTGTTTACCATTTGTTAGCAACTTCTTGAGTCTCCTCTGCTTTATTTGGCAAGATCACTAGACCCTTTATTCTCTTGTGTTCTCCAACAAAAAACACCTACAGTGTAATGCTAACACTATTTTTACCAGAGTGGAAACTCTAATTTTCAGTTCCCTAAGTCACAACTGTGAAAGTTGCCACCAAAACCCAGCAGCTTCTGTTCAAATCAGAGTAAAAGTATTACTATGATAAGTATGCTAACTAACTATTCTGTAGTTAGTTCTGAAACTAAGACTGAGCTCCTGTGTAGATTCTGCACTATTTGGGATTCTCACTACTGTAACAGACACTGGAAATTCTTAAAATCTTCTGAAATAAAAATAATTTATGCTCTATGAATAGGTAAATTAGCTCATTTTGTTATGTGTTTGCTTACTAACTAGTTACTGCACTGAACAGTCTGCCATGGGCTGCTTAACAAAAAACCCCACACAGATTCTACTTTCATAGACACATTTGCTTCAGAGTCCCTAAAAAGCCATGAAGCACAGCGCAGCGCCCACTCCCCTGGCACCACCAACACCGGCCCGCTGGCACTGCTCGGCGCTGCCACCAAATTCTGTCCCCTTCACAGAACCAGTCTGAGGCACTTCGGACACTCGCCACGTCCTCTTGAGTTGAAGTCCTAGGACCAAGGCAGAAAGCATGCCTAAGGTAGGACCTCACCTGCTTAAATAATCCTGCAGACACCCACAACGTACTTGTAACCTGTGACTGCAATTCAGCAGCATGGATAGAAAGTGGCAGTTCTCGTACATGTGACACCAGCCACCAAAGTTACTATTTTCTAGTATCCCAAAGCAAGAGCTGGGCTCTCTAGAGCTGAATGAAGGAGTGTTTTGACAGCTCAGCAGACTTGCTGCAGCCCAGGGGGTTACTGGGTAAAATGAAGCAGAGAGCTGAGCAGTGTAGACCTAAGGGAGGAGGCCTGTCCCCAGCATTCCAGCCACAGCCAGGAAACGGGGCACGCGCAGTCCTCATGGGCTGAGGAAAAGCCACCTAACTGGCACCTTGGAGTAGCAGAATCCACCTACTATCCTTCCTATTTCTAACACCATGTGCTTCTACCCTCTGGGATGACCAGATTTTCAAAGGCAGCGTGTCTGCCTGTGAAAGGAGAGCACAGCCCAAACGGGCATCAGACCAATTACGGTCGCATTGCTCTTTGTCCCTCTCAGCCTATGCACAGCTGCTTCTGCAGGGAACAGGTCCTCCAAACCACGAGTGACAGCCTAGCAGTTCCTCCCGTGGTTCCAGCTGTACCTCACAACAGCATGAAGACCAGTGATCTTATTTCCTCAATCTCTGCACAGAAGAATTACCATATACATATATATATATATATATATATGGATGTATGTTCTGGACTGGAAGGACATGAATGGAGGATGTGGAGAATGAAGGGGAGGATGTGTTTCCAGCACTGTGACATGTCCCTGTGTTCGCTTCCATCCCAGAAGCTCTAATGCAAAAGCTCTGCTGCAACAACACTGCTCATGTGAAACTCAGGCAACTAGCTCCTGCACTGGAAAAAAAGTATGCTTAGAACAGACCGGGAGATCAGTAGTTGGCCAAATGGAAGAGCAGATTGGTCCCAGTTTATTACTCTGCTTCTAGCAACAAATAAGTTACTCCTCAAAGAAAGAAAACATATAGAAATAATGGTAGACGCACAAGAAGAAAAAACAGTGATGGATCCTAGACAAAATTTTTGAAGAATCAAAAGCTTTGGACTGTAAGAACCAAAGAAACCTAAATCATTAGGGATGCTTCTTTACAGAAGCCATGCTAATTTGACCCTAAAATGTCACCAGAGGACCCTTTAATGGCAGAGTGTGACAACCGACCTCTAAGTGCTATGTAAATGTTGATGGACCACCATACAAAGCGTTTTACAAGTGGTTATAAATCCTTCATTTGTACACTAGTACCTAATAATGCATTATCAATAATGCTCCCCTGTTATTTTAGGAAGTATTTCTTTTGGACAGAACTGCTCTTGCTGGTCTTAAAATTCAATACAATCTATAATGATAATCTATATGGTTACATTATTACAGCAGACAGCATTATGCAATACTGTTAGTGTATATATGCACTTACGTATAATCCTTTGTATAGGATGTTGCTTTTATGAGATCATAGTAAGATGTGGACATTTAGGGCTAACTGACTTACCAGTGAAGTCACTGAGACCAGGCATGTCCAGTAACTGCCTTGATTTGTACACTGGCAGAAGTATTAACAAAACACCCATGGGATTTGGGAATTGAGGCAGGAAGTGACTTTTGTCTCCAGTTGTATAGTGCCTTACACAGAGGGGCTCTCTAGAGTTTGGCAACACACACTAATAGCTGAATATCTGAGCCTTTGTTTGTTGTTGTTGTTTTTTTTTTTTTTTTTTTTTTTAATTTATTTACCTTAAATAAGAGTTCACTTGTCTTTTTTGCACTGTAGTACAGCTTCACTGTTCCCATTTTGTATCCATTTCCTTTACCCTCTTGGTATCCATGAAGATCTGCTATATGCAGCAGTATAGAAAACAATGGGTTAATTCCAACACCCCCTGCTATCAGCACTAGTTTTACAGGGGAGTCACCGGGCTGAGGATCAAAGAAGAAATCACCTCCCACTCGAAGAGCCACTTCTGAGTCAAGAGCACACTAGGATGGAAAAGAAGACATTTAATGTCAAAACAAAAAGCAAAAGTTGAAATATTATTCTTGCACCACAGTCACAAGACTTGCTGGGCTGTGACTTCTTTATTTTTATTGACCAATGAGGAAAAACCGAAGTATTTTAAAATAAACACAGTTTCCAGCTATCTGAAGTAATCTGTTCCATGTCTCTAGGGATCTAGTTCTACTCTCAGAAGTTTCAGTCTTCTGATAAGGCAGGGTGGCGACATCCCCTTGCCACCCCCATAAGAGCTGACAGAGGAAAGATTCATGCAAGAGTCTTTCAACTGTGGCAGGTGGCTGTGAAAACCCAAGGTTAACACATGAGATCACACTTTTACTCAAACCCAGCCTCGTGTCAAGAGGCCTTGCTATGAGGTCACAGAGCAAAGCCAGAATGGGCTGCAGAGATGAAGAAGGTTTTTCCATCCCCAGACCCAAACAATAAAAAACTTTCAGAAAGGAAACAAGTAATCCACAAGAATATTCTTTGCAGAACCACTTCTGCATTTGGAACCTCACAGTTGCAGAAGAAGAAAAATCAAGGGGAAGCCTTCTCTCTTCCTCTCCACTTGTAGAAATTATTTCTTGGAGAAACTTTCCCAAGCATGTTTTTTTGATACATGGAAAACTAAAGCTACAAAAAGACACCATTTGGGCCAGTATCTTATTAGTAAATCAGCACTGCCTCCCGGTATGAAGGATGAAACTGCAGCCCAGAGAAGTCAGGTGAGTTCTCCCAGATCAATGCAAGCTAGCAAACCAGACAAAAGCAGAAGACAGAACTCATTTGAGGCCATACAGAGGGTTTAAAAAAGAAAGAGGATAGGGAAAGCAAGGCAAGTGGGAAAGGTGGAAAGGAAAAAAAGTATAGCTGCAGGAACCGCTGCAAAATTAGCAATTAATCACTTACAGAATAAAAACACTTCCTCCAAAAAATCCTTCTGGCATGAGGAAACAGTAATTGAAACAAAAGGATTTCCATTAATGACAACTGTAGAGTAACCAAAGGTCTGACCACCTAACAGTTCCACCAGGAGGAATAAGGAGGCCTTTGGACACAGGTACTGCACGGAACACAGAAGTTCCTGAAGTAGTCAGCATGACCATTAAAGTGTCTTGACTTTCTTCATCATTACATAAAGTATATCCTCTCAGTTACAGTGTAAGACAATCGGCATCCATTACATGAAACTGATTTCTCTCTCCCTTTCCATGCCCATTGCCAGGCTCTCCCACCAGGTTTTGCTGTGTTTTAGAGAAGCAGGAATCAATCCACTAGTGTTCCAGATTCATGTGGTAGAGGGAGATGTTAGAATATGGTGCCCTTTGTGGAAACAAGCATTTGTGGGGAGAAAATCTCATCATTTAATCTGCCTCCTTAACCAGCCATAGGTCATATTTTGGAGCTTTAACCACGGCAATGAAAACACCTTAAAATTCTGTTGTAATACAGTGAGAAAGTGGTGTCCTTCAGCCTAATTTGTAAAGGCAACATTGCAACAGCTTGGGCAGAGACATGAAGCATTCGTTACATGTACATTTTACTAAAGAAAAGGTTTTATTTTCCTAAAGCTACCAAGTACATTGTACTAAAATTTATTATTTTTAACACAGTCATATTTAAAAAAAAAACTCTTAAAAAAACAACCAAACAAAACAAACAGGTACAGTGAGTAAATGAGTACTAACTACTCCCTTAATATCTTTTACCCTGAGATATCAACTTCCTTTAAAAGTAAACAATTAAGTACCAGAGGTTTTTTTCACCATATATAAACAACCTTTTCAAAATTCTAGGTTGCTGTTCCTTTATTCTCCTTTCCTAAGGAGAAAAATGCACTGACTTAACTTACCCACTAACTAAACATTTTCCTATAAATTCAATCATAAATCTCAGCAACAGCAAACTAGTTTCCAACATCAAAAATTTTAAAAGAGTGTTTAGCAATGGGGAATTAAAAAGTTAGGCCTTCACAGTCTCTGAAGACCAATACCCAAAACCAGACAACCCTTATGGGCGCTATGGGGTCTGCTGGCACAGGTACCAGAAGTTCTACACAACATCTCAGAAGAGTTATTTTACGTTCCACTGCAGATAACTTGGCATGACACCAATTAAAATACCGTGGATGGTGACATGGTAACTACTAGATTAGCATTGCTCTGCATATTCTCAAGTCTAGTAAATTTGCATCACTCTTTACTGTAACTGTGTTGGCCACTGAACAAAATTGTGGTATTTGTAAACCTGGAAGAATTTGTCAACTTAAACTTTGCAGCCACACTTAAGAAATACAAATCCCAGGCAGAGAACCTAAAATCACAGGGGGCTATGGAAAGAACAACAGTTGATGGGATAGATCAGCTACAAAATATGATCATCAGCAGAAATAGGACTCTTCTGACTACAACTAAATGGGTGAAGTGCTGGGGTTAAACCCCCAGCCCTGAATGAGGGTTGGCATATGGATGATGTCCATAACCAGGCAAGAAAGAGCCTCCTGACTGGTTTCCATCCAGGGTCTGGCCAGCCTTGGGTGGGAACTGATGAGGAGATCACCACCAGCTGCCCCTACCTTCCACATTAACTTGGAGGCAGGGCAAGAAGCTACCTCTATAAGAGCTGACTCTGCTTGCAGTGGAGCTGGGAGGTTTGCCTGCACAGTTAATGTGCTGTGTGGGGATTCTGGTTGTTGAAAGGGCTCCCTGACTCTTCATAGGACGTGGAGTTTCCAGGATGGCAGAAGATCATGAGTCCCTCTCTGGGAAAATTCTACATAATTGGGCTGACCGTCTGTGTCCTTCCATCTCCCATGGCTTGGTTCCATGGCCAGCTTGCTCCCTTCTTTGCATCCTACGCTGTGAGTGAGTGTGTTAATTTATCCCTCCTTCCTGTGGTCTGGCACCTTGGATTGTTTGTGTACGGTTTAAGATCAGAGGGAAGAATCTGGCTGTTGTTTTGCCTGTTAATAATAATATCCTTCTATGCTGGGCAAGTGGTCAGCAGAAGAATGGGGTAAACAGATGATCAAAACACTTTGAGATGAAAAAGTGTCAGACTCTTAATATAGCAAAAATCAAGTCTTGGGTTATGTCAATATAAAAATATTGCATATTTAAAAGAATACTATAGAAATTTTGAAGTATTCTGTTGATTGATAATTTCAGAAAAAAACGACCTAAATATTTGTCATTGCTTCCCACCTTAACAGTCTCTATTTATAAGTATTTGACAATGATTCCCAGTTTATATTTGTGGAAATGGTCAGGAATGGCAGCAAGTCATCAGGTGTAACTTTGTCACATATAACACAGACTGTTCTCAGGGTTACAATTTAGAACAGAGGTTTTAGAACATTTTTCAGTTCATTAATTCTAAAGGATTGAGAACCCTTCTATGTGCTACCTACAATACCATTGTAAGTCCTCCAAGCACTAGTGGAGTTAAAAGACCACATCAATATCCAGTTTCAGCCATTTACTGAACAAAAGGGGTTTGAGACTTACATTGTACTAAAATGGCTGAATGAGTCAACAGGAGTTTTGCAGTCAATAGCAAAAATCACTCCAAAAATCAGACACCACCCCCTTCACCTCCCAAAAACAATAAAAAAAGTGCCAAATCTCACAATTATTCTCCTTTACCTCAGTGTGAACCCAATGGGCAGGAGGATGAGCAGTGTGCTTTACTGCCAGCTCTAATATTCCTTCTCGTTCCAACAGGCCAGGGCTTGAACATATTGAGAATCCCCCAACTACAGACACACCAGGAATAAAGAAGTCAACCCTAAAAATAGATCAGAAACAAAAATTAAAAAAAAAGCAACAACAAACCCAAAGATGGAAAACAATAACCAAAACAAAATGGCTGCCTTTGCTTCAAATATCCTTCTTTTACAAAGCCATCTTCATTTCCATACCGTAACTTTTCCAAAAAAGGACTGAAGCCTGAATAATGTAATTTCCTTAGAATTATTTTCATCTAGAAACGTCAGCACCTTTGCTAAACTAGCTTGGTTTTCAACCATTCTGCTTTCAGCATTAGATGCCACTTTTCACAACACACTTAGAATTCTAAATCTTTAAATAAATTGCTACCATATTAAAACAAAAAAAAAAACCCAATATCTGATAAAGTGGCTTAAATCCCACTTTTTGGTCCCTTTGCTGGGCTCTTCCATTTTCAAACATAAGATTTGGAAACTAATTTTAAGGAAATTACTTTAGATTACTCTTTCTTTTGTTAGGATGGTGAAACAAACACACAGTCTGTAAAATATTTCTCCAGTGAGGAATCAGTTTCTGGAAGCAGAATTACTTGGCCTCCTGCACTGCAGTGCCCTCTGGTGGCACCTCTCTTTCTCCAGTTGATAGAACACAGACCAGAAGAAATTACTACCATTCTTTTTTTTGAAGTTAAAAGTAATCTATGCATGGTACCTGCAGATTAGAAGGTAACCTACGGCTAAGCTTTTGCAACACCAGCAGTTAGAGAGTATGGAAAGCAAGCCATTACTACACATTCACTAGAACTCATTTTCCTAAAAGTAAGGCTTTGATATTCCAAATAGTAACAGAAAAAGTTAGAGGTCAATTTATGTTTTAACATTTAAACTCTTCCACATTGCATAAATCTTTAAATACTTCAATGTTCTACAGCATGTAACAAAACCCCTGTATGTCAAAAGAAAACTAATGTTTATAACTAATTGTGCCGTTTGCTTCAGGAAACAGCCGTACTGGTAAGCAATGCCAAGCCTAGAGAACCATTACTCAATTCAAGGCTGAGCTCAGTGTTAGCCACAGGAGAACACAACAAGCAGTAAAGAGTGGATTCTGCTGCACGGGTATCTTCTTTAAACAGCAAAGGTGTATTCTTCACAGATATCACAAATTCCAGAGGGAGGAGAGAATCACCCTGAATCATTCACCACTTTTGAAAGGGAAAAAAAAAAAAAAAAATCTTGCCTGCTTACACGCCACAAAGCTTCACCCTTTGAAGAAAAATATCCTCTCTTTCTCTTGAAGAATGCACAAAGTGTGATAGACACAATACTAAAGTAATATATTAAGGGCAAGAAGGAGGACCCGGGTAA